TAAAGTGGCCAGTGAGAGCCTAGCAGATTCGCAGTGTAAAAATGTATGTTCACTCACATTATCATGACAATCTGTTACATCAAGGCATCACCGTGGTTGCTAGGTTGCTCCAGGTGGTTGCTAGGGTAGTTTATAAAGGCTGTGACTTAAAATAGCTCATCCGCCAACAAATGTTTAGACAAGAAAATATGAAAAGTATGAGGAATATTATTAGGCTTTGCTCCGACGCACCGCAAAAATATGAGTATATTTATGGAAATGGAATTTATGGATGGATAAATCAGAGAAATGAGGACGTCTCTGCCATCCACTTCCATAACAAAACGTAACACTCTGCAATTAAACTCAACAGATGACGCTAAAGGGAAGATTTACTCGCCCGCGACTCATTCCAGACCTCTGCGAACTTCAGTCTCCTGCACAATTAAAGGAGAAGATGTTTTGAAGAGATACAGGGATAGTGAATGGGGCCCAAAATAAAAACACTGCACAAAAAAACAAACGTATATATAAATAAATACCTGTCCACTACCATATCAGACACCAGTAAAAACGGCTGCTCCCTCAGTTAGTGCACTATTCTAAGGTCCTATGAAACTAAAATAAAATGTTGTTATCAGTATTGTTGGTATTTAGGATAGTGTGCACTAAAACAGTGACAAAACTTGCATTTAGAATATACAAAACTGCTATAAACATGCAAAACTTTGTCGCTTCCGCCTAAATGGATCAGCAGTTTTACTGACGTCGCCTTTTACTTCAGTTTCTTATCAAATCTTCCGACCAATCAAATGCTCTCTAACGTCTGACATGCCCCGCCCCCTTCAGGATGCTTCACATTTGATGTGCTTGAGCTCAACCACTCTCACTGGCAGAGCTGTGATAAAACAACGCTATTGGCTGTTATTTATAAAGGGGAGGGGCTACTCTATGCCCCACCCTCTCTTTGTATTTCAGTTGAGATTATGTCAAACATCGAATAAACCTGCACATTTCAAAGCACTACATAAGAGCTTTAAGGGTATAAGGGTTAATGTTGGATACAGACGACATCTTTAGCTGTATAATAGAATATATGGATGAATACATCGAGTTTATGTTTAAAAATAAAAAATTATGTTCACTTTCATTACTTTAACAGTTTTTTTCATACATTTTTCTTTGGCTTATTTGCTTTACTCATCAGGGGGAATGAACCGCCAACTTATCCAGCATATGTTTTACACAGTGGATGCCCTTCTAGCTGCAACCCAGTACTGGGAAACACCCATACACACTCTCTCTCTCTCACACACACACACACACACACTCAAACACTACGGACAATTTAGTTCATCAATTCCCCTAAAGTGCACGGAGGAAACCCACATCAACATGCAAACTCCACACAGAAACGCCAACTGACCCAGCCGAGGCTCGAAACACCCAACCACTAAGCCACCGTTGAGTCCCATGCTAATAAATAACTACTCAAATGTAAACGAACACACATTCTCTGTGACTTTGAGAGACAGGGCAGGAATACGTCAGACGTCCGGCCATTCATCACAGAATGCACGCGTCATATCGCAGGTTATTAGTGCACAGATTCCCTGGCATTTACAAATGACCAGCGCCTATGGAAAACAGCACATTTCCTATATTTCTGCATACATCTCTGCCGTTTGATTGAGTGTGGAGGACAGCGGCTCTCGCGTGTGCGGAGATAAACGCGGGTTTATTCAGTTTACTGCAGTATGAGACACGATTACAGGCGGACACATCATCTGAGCACGTCGGTCAAGATATTATACTGTAAAAAATATCCGTAAATAAGCAGTTTACTGTATTTATGTTTGATTTCCCCTGTTTATTTATGCTTTCCAGTTGCATTATGAGACTCTGCTCTTTCTCCCAACAATTCTCACCCTTGAAAAGTTGGAAAAAGTGACATTTGTAATAGTGTGCAGTGCTATATTGGCTGTGTTGGTGTTGTATTTTACGCTACAAACACCTTGTAAGCACTTATTTCTGTAGATATTATTTATTAAACATTATATTATCTCAAACTACTAACAAAAATGTCAATAAAAGCCGTCAACAGGATCTTTGAACTTAAATGGTTTGTTGCAAATTTGTTTCCTCAAATGATTTGAGTTACCTTAACATTTTGGGTTTTACAGTGTGCTGGCCCATATCTATCAGCTGATATCGCGTCCATACACTGCGCTCCGACTATGAGAACCCCGTAACAGAGTGAAAAGTGAGAGCGTTTGCATGCAGTCGTGCAGAGCGTGTGTGTGCGCTGCTGAAATGGACATGAATCTGTCAGATCTCTGGTCTCCGTGCGCCGTCTATATCCACACACATCAGCGTCATCATGTCCGCAGGTCAGAGCCTGGCGGCGCAGGCCACATCAGCATCACAAAACAGCACCGGCTGAAGCTGTCAATGAAATGATGATGTTTGAGCGCTGCTTGACAGGCAGGAGGACAGGAGGAGAGAGAAGATCGAGATGCACCAGTCCAACTGACCATTTACAGGAAAAGTCAAAATTATTAGCCCCCCTGGATATTTCTGTTTAAAGGAGAGCAGATTTCTTCAACACATTTCTAATCATGATAGTGTTAATAACTCATCTCTAATAACTGATTTATTTTATCTTTGTCATGATGACAGCACATAATATTAGACTAGATATTGTTCAAGACACTAGTATTCAGCTTAAAGTGACATGTAACACTAATATTGCTTAAAGGAGCTACTAATATTGACCTTTTAAATGGCTTTAAAATAATTAAAATCTGCTTTTATTCTAGCTGAAATAAAACAAATAAGACTTTTTCCAGAAGAACAAAATATTATAAGAAATACTGTGAGAAATTCCTGAATCATTTGGGAAATATTTGAGAAAATAAATAAATAAATAAACCATAGGAGGGCGAATAATTTTGGCTTTTTATTTGCAAATATAAATACTACTGTAAGCGGGTCTGACCGCCAACTTATCCAGCATTTGTTTTATGCAGCGGATGGCCTTCCAGCTGCAACCCATCACTGGCAAACACCCACACACACTTGCATTCACACTCATACACTACAGACAATATAGCTTAGTCAATTCACCAATACCACATGTCTTTGGACTTGTGGGGGAAACCGGAGCACCCGGAGGAAACCCACGCGAACAACACAGGGAGAACATGCAAACTCCACACAGAAACGCCAACTGACCCAGCCGAGACTCAAACCAGTGACCCTCTTGCTGTGAGGCAATCGTGCAATCCACTCTGCCACCTTGCTGCCATGTTTATCTATATGTATCAATATTATTTATGGTGATAATCACTCACTGACCTAAGATGAAACTAATAAAGCAACCTAAAAAGTACAAGCTCTATGCACTTACTATAGTACTTATGCATGATTAAATTAATAGTTACAGTGTATACGTCGCCTTAAAATAAATTATAACCAAATATTTTTGCTTTTAATTAAGGTTTGTGATCAAAAATCCACTCAGAGCCACTTGTTTGGTTAATAAAGCTACAGCAGGTCTCGAATAATTCATTTATTAAACGACAGAAAATATTACTTCACAAACTGCATTGTACATAAATGAACTAAACATTTGCACATAATTCAATAATAGTATATATTCAGAGTAAATAAACGCATATATAGAGTAAATGCCAAGTTAATTTAGGGTGCTTTCTTACCTGCTTTATTTAGTTGGGTTGAATCGCACTAGAGTTCGTTTTCCCTTTTGGTGCGGTTCGTTTGGACAGGTGTGAATGCACCAATCGTACTCGAGTGCGCATCAAAAGCGGACCAAATAAGCGTACCGAGATCTGCTTGAAGAGGTGGTCTCGGTACGCTTTCAAATGAACCCTGGAGCAGTTCTTTTGTAGTGAGAATATTATCCGCACTAAAACAGGTCCAACAGCAAAAAGTACAGCGCCTTTTGGACTAATTCAGCTGCCGTACGCCGATGCGCTGTGCATTATGGGATATGGAGGAAAAATATTTGTTGACAGCGCTTTACCAACAGAGAGAGAGAGAGAGAGGGGAAAACATTACCTGATGGATCGTTGGTAGTATTTCCGCAAGATGAGCATGTCGCAGTTTAGCTAAATTAATTCACGCCTCCTCCTGAAGTGACGTGCGATGCATTAAACACTGTTTTCCAGCCGCGGCCGCGCTTCATTCTCGTAATGTATAGTTTGTCTAAAGCAGGGATACAATCAGTCAGCGCAGTCGTCCCTCCAGAGTAAAAGGTTTTGTTTACCTGCGGGAGTTCACTGGCATTTTCCCGCAAGTGAATTCTGACCAATCAATAAGCAGTTTAGGAAATATGCTCAACAACATCTGGCCAATGAGAGATGTGGGTTTTGTCACATGACTGCATTTTGGTTTGTTTCAACTGGTTCGGACCAAATCCAGCAGCGTGGTGTGAAAACGACCCAAAGACGGCAGAAAATGCAGCAATGTATCACGTATTACCCCTTGGTCTGGACCAAATGAAGCGAACTACAGATGTGAAAGCACCCTTAGTCGCAAAAAAGATGATAAAGTGAAGTAGGTAACTGAGAGAATAGTAAATATTAATGTACTCAAATCAACAGAATTCTAATTATATTTGTATGCACACACACACACACACACACACACACACACATATTGTGGAGGGTCTCAAAGACTTGCTCTTAAAAATAGGATGTAAAAGTGAAGAGGCGAGGCAGTCACACTAGTTTGGTTGTAAAAAAACAGGAAGATTTCTCGAACACATCCCGGGTCAGCATTCGCCACGGGCACTTTAAACCGCTTTATTAACATGTATAGAGGCGAATACGCTGTGAAGTGGAGGAGATCAGGTGTGCTGCGTATGATATGAGCCTGCAATGACAGGCCTTGATATTCATTCAGACCGGCAGGAGTCCCATCAGCCCCTGCAGCACCATCATCCACACATACATTACTGTCAGAGCCAGGTAAGAGTCGAAAAATACAAGCACCTTTTGTCATAAAGTCTCGAAAAAACAAAACAAAAACCCTGGACTGTCCCTCCGGGGTGTGTTGATATGAGGTGCTCATTGATAAACTCTTAAAGGGATAGTTATTCTGATGGTCCACTCACATTCACTTGATGCAAAACCTGTTTAAGCTTCTTTCTTCTGTTGAACACAAAAGAATAATCTGCTAATATTAATAATCTGTATTTGTTTGGTTCTACTATGGAAGTCAATGGTCTTCAGCTTTCTGAAAGAAAGTGATAAAGGCAACACAGGCTCACTGTGGACACGTACCCCTGTCTACATTTCTGGAGAGCGTGAATAATGTAGCTAGAGGTACGTCTGGCTGCATTCGTATTTAAAATGAACGCTACGATGCGGAATGACATCGCAGACAGCTTCTATTCATTTTAGGGCTATGAGCTGACCGCTTACCTCCGTACAGACGGCTTTTTTTCAGTGTTACCAGTTTGCCCAGTGGCTCGCCACACACTGCAAGAGACTGATGTGGAGTGAAGTTGCCCACGATGATGGGGTTTGAGTCCAGTGAAAAATGGTTTCATAAACCTGGTAAAACAAAAGTAAATAATAAATAAACAGGTCACACTTTACAATAAGGTTCATTAGTTAATGTTAAGTAATGCATTTACTAACATGAGCAAACATTGAACAATACATTAACTACACTATATATTCATGTTAGTAAACGTTAGTTAATGAAAATACAGTTGTTCATTGTTAGTTCATGTTAACTCGTGGTGCATTAACTACAACAGGCTGAAAACGTGGTGAAATTATGTAGCCGAGACAGCTTTTCTTTTGCTAGTCTGCTTTTAAAAACACTATCGGTTGGGTCTAGGGAAGTGGGTGGGTTGGTCAGTTGACAACAAGCTGGCCTGGTCGACCAAAGTGTATATTGCGCCCTCTGGTGAATGTACGCAAGAGGTATTTGTGATCATCAGAAAGTGTACACAGCGCCCTCTGGTGGATTATCGTGAGAAGAGGACATGCAGGAGGAATCTATAATTATTAGAAAGTGTACACAGCGCCCTCTGGTGGATTTACGCGAGAAGAGGACGCGTGAGAGGAATTTGTGATCATCAGAAAGTGTACACAGCGCCCTCTGGTGGATTATCGTGAGAAGAGGACATGCAAGAGGAATCTATAATTATTAGAAAGTGTACACAGCGCCCTCTGGTGGATTTACGCGAGAAGATGGCGCGGAACAGGAAATTGTGATCATTAGAAAGCGTACACAGCGCCCTCTGGAGGATTATGTAAGAAGAGGAAGCATAAGAGGAAATTGTGACCATTAAAAAAAGCGTACACAGCGCCCTCTGGAGGATTTACGTGAGAAGAGGACGCGTGAGAGGAATCTATAATTGTTAGAAAGTGCACACAGCGCCCTCTGGTGGATTTACGCAAGAAGATGGCGTGGAAGAGGAAATTGTGATCATCAGAAAGTGTAAACAGCGCCCTCTGGAGCATTACGTGAGAAAAGGACGCGTGAGAGGAATTTGTGATCATCAGAAAGCGTACACAGCGTCCCCTGGAGGATTTACGTGGAAAGAGGACACGCAAGAGGAATCTATATTCATTAGAAAGCATACACAGCGCCCCCTGGAGGATTTACGTGGGAAGAGGACACGCAAGAGGAATCTATAATCATTAGAAAGTGTACACAGCACCCTCTGGTGGATTTGCAAAAACAAAAACCACGAACAGACGTACCTAAGGTTACGCATTTCGCTGTCCCCAGACATGTAGACCTGGGTACGTATCCGCAATGAGCCTGGGTTGCTTAAAGGTTTGGAACCACTTGAGGGAGAGTAAATAGTGAGTATCCTACATTTTAATTTTTGAAAAATTAAATCTAATTAATTAATTAAATCTTTAATTTAGTTTAAAACTCCTAAAGTCTTGACACAATGCATCCTATAACTAATTTAAAGCAGAGCTATTATACAAAAAATCCTTTTTATGAGGGGTTTAAACAGTTGTGCGGCAAGAGTGTGTAAATATAACCAGCTTCTGATGTAAAAATTTATTATTTTTATTTTTTTATGAATCACACTTGATAGAAACAGTCTGCAGAAACACTTTGATTTACATTCTACCTTTGTACATGTGATCAGAAGGGGAAAGCCCCGCCCACTGGTGTCCATCTCTCCCTCATTAGCATAGGATTTTGAATCTGCCACTATCCTGACACACAGGCATCTGTAGCTCCGCCCTATTCTGAAATCTAATTTTAAATTTAAAGCGACAGTCACCAAAACGTCACAATTAGGATCAAAGCCTCAAAGTGTCAGTTTCAGGGAGTTTTTTTGAGCTGAAACTTCACACACACACACTCTAGAGACATCACAGACTTATTTTACATCTTGTAAAAAGGGATTTAATAGGTCACCTTTAAAAGATAGTTATTGTGAAGTGCGCTCTATAAATTAGCTTGAATTGAACATGCATAAAAGTATACAAGTTATAATGCGGCGGACGCTCCGTAACAATTGAATGTTGTTGACCAAATATGCATGTTCACCAGTCGGGACGTCTTGTTAAAATTGCCTGCCAAATTTTATTATCAGGAGAAACGTGGTCATAATTCTGAGATATGTCTGGGAGGAAGCACAGAGATTCATTGTGTTTGTCCTTGACCCCCAGACTGAGGCGAAAACGCAACAATAGAGCTCAGACAGCATGTTGAATATGACAACGGGTCTGTGAATGATAGACGTACAGTTCATTCAATATATGTGTGTGTTGTCGTTTAGGCCTGTTACGATATCTATTTTTTGTCATACGATATATCGCACACAAATACACTGCAATAAATGATGTTATTGTAATTTTCAGACTAATGCCACTCATTATATAATGGCAGAATGACCATATAATATCATAACAATGCAACTACACTCCACCAAGGAACACATCATGTTTTATTCTTAAGATTATTTCATTTAATTATAATCATTTTAACAGTTTAATAGTCAGGCGTTGGAGTCAGAATGTGAAAATGCATTTCCTAAACAAACAAATTCTAATAAGGTAAAGAGTAACCGAGGCTGCGATATCTGCTAGCAGATCTATTTTCAGCTGTCAGACACCCAGATGAGAATATACTATAGTCATTTATAGTAAATACTGTAGTGTTTTAACCATACTGACACTGACACCTCCAATAGAGACAGAAATGTTGCGCAATCAGATAAAATGTTGCTAGAATTGTTTTTTTATGTATGGGTGATATACAGTGCGTTCGGAAAGTATTGATAGCGCTTTTCTTTTTGCACATTTTTTTTTTTGTCACAGCCTTATTCCGAAATGGATTAAATTAATTGATTTCCTCAACATTCTACACACAATCCCCCATAATGACAATGTGGAAAAAAAGGGTTTTTGAAATTGTTGCAAATTTGGATGGGAAGCGCCGGTGTGCAGCCATTTTCAGATCTCTCCAGAGATGTTCAATAGGATTTAGGTCTGGGCTCTGGCTGGGCCACTCAAGGAGATTCACTGAGTGGTTGTGAAGCCGCTCCATTGATATTTTGGCGGTGTGCTTTGGGTCATGGTCCTGCTGAAAGATGAACAGTCACTTCAGTCAAGAGCACTATTGTGCAGGTCTTCATCAGGATGTCTCTGTACATTGCTGCATTCATCTTTCCCTCTATCCTGACTAGTCTTCCAGTTCCTGCTGCTGAAACACATCCCCACAGCATGATGCCAACACCACCATGCTTCACTGTAGGGATGCTGTTAGCCTGGTGATGAGTGCTGCCTGCTTTCCTCCAAACATAACGCCTGGCGTTCACTCCAAACAGTTCAGTTTGAGTCTCATCAGAGCAGAGAGTTTAGTTTCTGATGCTCTGAGAGTCCTTCAGATGGCAAACTCCAGGCGGGGAGTGTCTTCCGTCTGGCCACTCTACCATACAGGCCTGATTGGTGGATTGCTGCACAGATGGTTGTCCTTCTGTAAGGTTCTCCTCTCTCCACAGAAGAACGCTGGAGCTCAGACAGAGTGACCATCGGGTTATTAATCACCTCCCTGACTAAGGCCCTTCTCCCCTGATCACTCAGCTTAGATGGCCGGCCAGCTCTAGGAAGAGTCCTGGTGGTTAATCATCTTCCACTTACGGATGATGGAGGCCGCTGTGCTCATTGGAGCTTTCAGAGCAGCAGAAATGTTTCTGTAAGCTTCCCCAGCCTTGTGCCTTTAGACAATCTTGTCTCAGAGGTCTACAGACAATTCCTTTGTCTTCATGCTTGGTTTGTGCTTTGACATGCACTGTCAACCCTGGGCCCTTATATAGACAGCTGTACGCCTTTTCAGATCATGTCAAATAAGCTGAACTGACCACAGGTGATCTCCAATGAAGCTGCTGAAACATCTCAAGAATGTCCAGTGGAAACAGAATGTGCCTGAGCTCAGTGTAGAGCTTCATGGCAAAGGCTGTGAATACTGATGTACATGTGATTTTACAGCTTTTTTTTTTTTTTTTAAATAAATTCACAATAATTTTAAAAACTCTTTCTTCACATTTTCATTATGGGGGATTGTGTGTAGAATGTTGAGGAAATAAATCTATTTACTCCATTTTGGAATAAGGCTGGAACATAAGTAAATGTGGAAAAAATGAAGCGCTATCAACACTTTCCGGATGCACTGTAGATTGCATCACTAAAAATTACTGAGGTCATGTCAATGTCAAATAAATGTCTCTTCAAGCTGGATACTAGCATCTTTAAAAATAACTAGTAAAATATTATGTACTTGGGAAATATTTGCAAATAATAATAATAATACCTTCACATAATTTTGTCTTTATATGTAGATTATGATCAAAGTGAAGACTCCATGCCAAATGCACAGCATGCACATAATAATAAAGCTATGTTAATATATTTGGCTTTACCTCTACAATCTCGTCTGGAGGCTATTCATCTCTTCATAGTGTTCTGATGGGCAGATAAAGCAATGCATCGTCCTCCTGTCATCTTTAAAAACCCAAATATTAATCAGTTTCCCTGCCATGAACCGTCTGACCCCAAATGCTCCTGCTTTTATATGTTCTGCGACCTGCTTCTGCTGGACTGATGCACACATATATGGCCATTTATTTCAGACACACACACACACACACATATGTCCATGCCAGACGCGGACAGCAACAAAGCATCAAAATTCATTAATGCCGTAAAGAGAATCTTATCAGCGTGACACACTGCCATATAGTCATGTATATCAGCTGAGGAGATCATAAATTAGCCGTAGACTCACAGTCATTTAACCTTGAGGCGACTTTTGTGTGCTTTTGCATGTTTATGAACACAGACTGGCGTTTAACTGAGGCTTAGGTCAAAAATAAGTGCGCAAAACTGCTGACAAATGAATAGAAACATAGGGGAATTGATTTAGCATGTTTAAGAACATTGGTAACGTGTTCCTTGCATGTTGCTGGTGTTGTTAGCATGTATTAGCAGATTGCTTAACATGTTTTAGCACACTTCTGCTGTGTTTTTCGCAATTATTGGCACAATTCTGCTGTGTTTAAGCACATTGCTAG